ATTCTATGATTCTATGAAGCGTGTGCATTTAGCCTGATTTCTGCAGAGTGCTTTCGGAAACTGTGTGTTGTAATACGTTTTCACAGTTCTGTGTTCTGGAAATCAGACGAATCTTGGGAGAATTTGTCCAACTTCTAGGATATCATCAGCCACGCGGTAGGCTAAACAGCATGTCTTTATTTTTAAGTCTGATGCAGATTCAGAAGTGTGAATTGGTCTTGATCCACACCTACCCAGTTGGTGAAGACAGCCTTGTTTCAGATCGGCCTAAAAAAGAGGTAAGGAGCTTAAAACGAGGAAACGTATCCAAGGGTTAGGAACCACATCCAACTCAACAGACAGTGCACATTGAGTAGTTGGTGATGATGTTTTCAGCCCCTGGTCTCCGCTGAGGTGTGGGAAAAACTACAGGCGATGACGTTTTGAAAAGCTGACAGCCTGCACCTTGCCTTCTCTGAAGCCTGTGCTTTGCATATATGGGATCCCCTTTTTTCATTGCATTACTTGGGTTTATTGCATTAATAATTCATTTGTTGGTAAATTAAGCCCATTAATGCCATAGCATGATAGTCTGGGGTTTGGAGTTTTTGAGAAGAAAATGCACATTGAGGTGCCGAGTGGAAAACCATCAACTACTTTGTGTTGAATCGGTTAGTTGGGGGACTCTCCTCCTGTCCAAGCGTAAGCTGCTAGCGAGCACAAGCCCTCTTTTCTCTGACACCTGGTAGAATGATGTGGATGGGGCTCAGCGCTGCGTGTTCAGTGTTATCCAGGCTAGGGTTAGTATTTCTAGCCTTTTGGTTAAATGGTGTTCTCATGAAACCAAAAATGGGCTTTTGCATATAAATTGTTGTTGCAGTGTTAGCGAACAGGATGCCCTGTACATGAAAAGCATTGGAAAGCATATCTGCTTCAGAGTGAAGGGTGAGAGATTGTGGGAGAGTAGAATATGCCTGAAGCTCGTCAAATACTTGAAGTACCCTACAGGTACTCGTAGAGTTTATTTACAAATAGGCCAAAGAATGCACATAAGAAACTGTATTGACACCTCAATTGTTCAGCACCAAGAGCACGTGTACTCTGTGGGCTTGTGTGCTTGGTAGTGGTTGTTTGAAGCCAAGTACAGGCAAAGTATTTTGTCATATGCTCTGCTCAGTCTTTTAACTTTGTTCCTGTTACTCAGCAGGTAAAAGGGTGAGAAACTAGGCCCAAAGCTGCTCTTAAGAGGCTTTCTTCCCCATGTTTTGATATTAATTCTTCTATTGCCTATTAGTGACTCAAGTTTGTTAGCATACTTCTAATTTTTTGACAATTTCTAGCAGCTGCAACTATAGCAACTGGCGTAACATGCAAAATTCTGAATGAGAATTCATTTTTCCTTCTTAGTTTCCCATGGTGTGGAGTTTCTAGATGGTGGTAGTTTCAACCTCCAGTTGCATTTAGCAGTATAAACGTGCTTATCTTAGGGTTTCCAGTGACAATACTATTAGATGATAGAGCCTAATCCATTAATGCTGCATATCCTCTTTGTCAATTTACTCTAGCTTTCGCCAGTTTTAACCAGTGAAGTGCACAGTGTCCGTGCGGGACGGCATCTGGCTACAAAACTGAATGTTTTAGTACAACAGCACTTTGATCTGGCTTCAACCACAATCACCAACATTCCTATGAAGGTAACATAGTGTCTATAGCTTCCTGTTAACTAGCTGCATCGCTTCGAAATTTCTTTGGGAACTTGTAATGTTTATTTTAATTGACTTCTTTTTACATTTGTTTTTCTCTCCATATCATATTTTCTGTTTTGTTTTTTTTTTATTAGCCCACATTCAATGTCTGTGACCAGGTTAGTAAAAATAAAGGGGGAAAAAAAAAAGTAAAGAAGGATCACAGAACAAAAGGTTGTATTGCTGAATCTCAATTTTTGATGTAGCAATACAAGTGTTATTTCAGTTCTGTTTGTAGTATTTTATATAAACACAATTTATTTACCTCAGATTGCTTTGTCTGTGATTCTTTTGTCTTTTTCTAGTTGTGTCTAGATATTCTTGACCCTTGTGCATTATAGTGGCATAGTGAGTCTTTTTCCTCTGTTTCATTATCACGCCCACCCAACATAAAGGTGTTTGTAACTAATAGCTGATTTTTGACTAAAGGTTTTCCAGTAGGTTTCCTAGTTTGAAGATCCATAAACCAGAATCAGGAGGATGAGATATATTTGGTTAAGAAAGATACTAAATTAAAGAGCTTCTGTTCAAAGTTTGGTTTTATGTCCCTATTCTTAATATTTCTTTTCATTGCTACATGGAAGGAAATCAGTGCCGCTAAGAATTTCAAATTTTAAGTTTACAGCAATTTTCTGTTCAGGCTTCAAGAGACAAAACAAGTGTCAGTATTCAAATGAACAAAAAGGGTGGGGACAGATGAAGTTTCCTGATGTAAAAAAAAATTCATCAAGTTCTAATGCTGTCCATCATTACTTGCATCTTTGAAAACTAGTAATATTTTATGGATTTTATGAGAGAAAACATGAAATCAAACTATTTTCACAGCTTTAATGAAACTTTGACATGGGTCATGGCATAAATGCGACTTAAGTTTGCAAATACCTTGTCTGTAACTCTGACCTGTGTGCCGCTGGTATGCCTCTCCCTTCTGCCTTTGTCCTTATAGTAACAGACTATGTTGGGTTCTCTGTGTTTTTTTTCTTTTTTTTGTTGTGTTTTTTAACTTGGAATCAATTACCAAGGTTACTGTTCTGTTTTTGCTGGTCCTCTCCAGCTGTTTAAAGATGCAGTGTCCTCTTTGCAAACATCCATTTTTTTAAAAATTATAAACTTGCAGCTGCAAATACACTTATATATGTTAAGTGCAAAGAAATTAAAAGTTTGAAGTGTTGTTTGGATTATTGATATTTTGGTTATGAAAAGTAATCACCAATCTATTCTGCAGTGGCCACTTGTTGCTGCTGAGTAAGTTGTAACTGCTGGTTGTATTTAATGTCGTAGGCTTCCTTCACTACTTTAAACAGAAGTAGTTAAGCCTATTTTTTAGCCTCAGTTTTACACTACACGCCCTGTCGTGGCATTTGTATGAAGGGAAAACCGTAGGGTTTCCAAAAAGGAGAAAAGAGGAAAAGCAGATGGCTGGATCTTTAAACAGGTCAGAGAGCAAACAGTTTCCTCGACATTGCAATCACGTCGTTGTCTGATGCACTTTGGAGACTCTTTGTTTTTCTTCTGGAGTGGAAGGTAAATGTAGAATTGTTTATGAAAACAGTGACCTCTAGCTAAAATAATCATAGTTACTCTTTCTACCCTTCTCTTTTCAAGGAAGAACAACACGCTAACACGTCAGCCAACTACGATGTGGAACTTCTTCATCACAAAGAGGCACATGTTGACTTTTTAAAGAGCGGTAAGTGGAAATAGTCCTCTAAAAGTGGCTCTTGATCAGCCTGCTGGAAGTATTCCCAAAGAAAGATTGTGAGCCTTAAATTGATGTAAATTTCAGGCATGATCTGCATATGCAGTTATTCCTTACAGCCCAAGAACTGGGTTTTGTAACGTTGCGTTGGGGTGTTGTAACACAACAGTACGGATGTCACAGTAAAAAAACAAGTCAGAGTAATCAGACAAGGTTTCACGTACGTTCAGGGTGTTTGCGTGGGATTAGAGGGGCATGTCCACCTCTTACTGAGATATAAAAAGTAGATGAGAGACCAGATGTGCAGTGATTTTTTTTTTTGTTATAAAAAAGGTACCTCTTGTGGGGATTTGTGGAAAATTTATTCCTTGCACAACTGAACTTTTAGTCTGAGCAGTAACAGCTGACGTTGTTTACATCTCATAGGCCTGTTTATGTCAGTGATTGCTTTGGAAAAGACAATAGTTATCTGGCTTTGAGCTTCCCTGTTGTATTTGAAATACCTAGTATCCTTTTTATAGATTTGGAATTATTACCTAGTATTCCCCTGAGGTGAATTTTTAATAACTCAGCGGAAGTTAGAAAAACACGACACTAAGCCTTATGCAAAACCCTTTTGTTCAGGAAATGGTGTGTGGTGTAAAATTTGTTAATAAGTCAGGCTAGAAATTCTGCGTTAGTAGAAATAAAAGCAGAGCTAAGCCGGGAAAACCCCTCAGCCTGTGGGTTACGGAACACTTGGACTGTATGCCTTCTCAGTGCTGAAATCTCATTTTAGGGCCTTGTATATGCTTTCTCTTCCATCATTGATCGTAACTTCTGTTAGCGTTCAGTACGTTAAAAGCTTAGTCTGATTTACTTTGTGAGTAGAATACGTGTATTTAGCTAGAGGCTGTAGATACTTGTTGTAATATGCAAAATTATATAATATAGCTTTAAAGCATAGTAATAAGTTGATTGTGGTTTAACTGTGAAGGAGTGAAGAATTTAACAAATGACTTATTTAGCAAAGAGTGGATATTTATTTTCTGAAGCTTGAAATCGTATGGTCCCTAAGTAGCCATTTTAGGAGGTTTGCCCTTTTTTACCTCTTAAAGGGATTACCAGTACTTTGAGGAAAAGGATGTAACTCCTCATCATCATCTACAAGTACTAGGCTCCCTGCTTTAGGGGAGTGTATGGCTGAAGACTGAGGAAGATGAATTGGATGTGATGGTAACAAGACTCACCGGAACCTGTGTTACCAGGTTGAATTCCTAAAACTGTATTGTAAGGGCTCAGAAATAGTCCTGTAATACCTCTTGACTCCGGGAAGAGGTCTGCTTATAAAAGCCAAAAGCAAACCCTTGACAGCAATTCCTCTTCAAATTTTTTTCTGTCAGAACTTTGAGAGGAAAAAGTCTGTTCTTAAGAGCCTGTAAATTTTGGTTTTTGTTTGTTTTTAAATATTTCAGCTGTAATAGCCCTGGTGCTAGGAAAGGAGGAATTCCGTTACATCGCTCTCATTTCTGTGAAGTATTGCTAGAGAAGTTTTAGATTAAACAAGTTTGGCCTTTGGCTATTCTGAGAGACTTTGTAAAATGATTCCAGTTATTTTAATTTAAAAAATCAACCTTTGCAAGTTATCTGCATGATTAATAAGCAAACCTTTTGCGAGTTCAATGTCTCTGACGTGAAGTGAAAGGAAACTTGTCACATGAAAGATGAGACTGAACATCCCCCAAGGTAACTTAGCGTGTTGATGTGTCCCGTTCCTCCCTGTGGGTGCGAGCGTGTGAAGTGACTCTGCTACTGGGATTCTGAAACTTCATGCAGAACTTGCAAAGAAGCATTAACGTCCCTTCCTGAGATGACCCGAGTCAAAGGCGGTGCGGGATGCCAAAACTCGCTGGTAGGGTGTGTTGGTAACGCCCGTTGCATGGCCTCCCAGGGGGGAGCAGTTAGCAGGGAGAAGTTGCGTGAATGTGCATTAATGATGAAGCGTCTGCGGCCAGTAAAACGTGTCGAGAAATGTTCAGAATTAATCTGGCGTAGCTAAGGGACTGGGTGATGGGACCGAACTTATGTTATAAATATCTTGCACCTGAGACGTTTGGAGTTTTTTTGCCTTAATAAGGAGAATGTGGTCGTTCACAGACTTCTTCTGACCTTGTATTGCAGGTGATAATCACGCCGGCGGCAATAGCAGAGAAGGCACGTTTAAAGAAACCGTGACGTTGAAGTGGTGTACTCCTCGAACAAACAGTGTGGGTAGGTAACACGGTGTCCTACAAAACTGATACTCTGACTTGTGCTGGACGATCTTCTCTCCCTACGCTCGTAGGAAGCTGAAGAAGGAGGTAATTCACTGCTTGTTAATGCTGGGTTTGCCTCTTGCTCTGTAAACCTTGCTGCTCATGGGCATATGGTGCTCTCCTGATCAGGGGTTTCGTGTAAGAGGTGAGAGCGGTAGTAATGGTTTTCTTGGTGTTTTTTTCAACTCCCTCTTAAGACTCACGAAGTTGTTCCTTGACTACAATGTTCAGGAGTTATTTCCCCTGGCCTCACCCTGCCCCCCAGGGCCAAATATCCCTTGTTGGTTCCACAGTGGTGGTGGTGTAACAGTGTCTTCGAGTTCTTCAATCAGTTGTTTGGTTTTCATTCTTGATTGGGGGGATCAAAGTACTGTCTTCAGTGTAATCTTTAGAGTGCTAAGTGAAAAGCTTTGCAAGGAAATTAAATGCAGGCAATGATGCTATCGGTAGACTAGTCCCTCTCTAACTTTCAAATCCGAGTAAGGGAGAGACCTCTACCCCGATCTGAGTAAAGGACAGAAAGACAGGGAAGATTCAGGGTAATGTAGGAACCACCTGGCCATGCAGCTCATGCACCCCGCAGATTATCAGCAAGGTATGTTGACTCGTGGACCCAGCAGGTCAAAAATATAGGTAAGAGAAATGAGAGGAGGTGGACTCTACGGTGAAATAATTCAGGAGATAAAGGCCCTGCTGGAAATGGGGCTTGGGAATGTGTTAGGCCCTTGGAGTTGAGGGTGCTGGAACAATCGCAAGGAGATGGGGAAAGGAGCAAACTCTTAGATTGAAAGCCAGCTAGACTTTTCTGTTGATGGTGGAATAGCCTCCCCCTCTTCCTTTGGTTTATTTTGTGGGATGTTTTTTCTGTATGTGGAACCACACCCTCAACTTTTCTCCTCACTTACTTCTCAGAATTACATTACTGCACCGGGGCGTACAGAATTTCACCAGTTGACGTAAACAGCAGACCTTCTTCATGCCTCACAAACTTTCTCCTTAATGGTAAATTTGTGTCCTTGGCTAATTATGTGACATTTTAATTGTTAATATTGTGAGTAGTGTTGAGCATGTGTTGGCTTGCGTGGCAGTAAAAATGTCAAGCTTATTTTGATGTGTCACACAAATAGGGGGAGATGTTGAATGTACTCAAAGACAAATGGAATGTGTTTTGAAACTTGAAGACAGGAGGAAGAATGTAAAGAAGGAGCAAGTATTTGAATTCCGGTAGTTATTCTCTGAATCCAAATGTGGAAATGTTTTCCCTTTGTGGTATTTAGTAGGAAACACTGCTTTCAGTGGGTGATAGCACACTCTATCACAAGTCTTTCTCTGACTATTGCAAAATATTACCAACTTAAGTCTGTGTCTGATTTTAGCAGATTCTGGGCAGCCTCAGAAAGCTTTTAACTGGGTGGAAGTGTTTTAGTTGGGTCGAAGCGTTGTTCTCCTGGAGGGTAGCAGAGCCCTGCAGAGGGACCTGGACAGGCTGGATCCATGGGCTGAGGTCAATCG